CTTCAAATCAACCGTGTAAATCGACCGTGTATCAAGATTTACCCTTCTTTTTTGGCATTTTTATGCTCTCAACAATATTCTATTTTTACATTTTTAAAATTTGGGAGCAGTGTTTATTTGTTTATTCGTGTGATTGTTGTGGGTCGCACAAAAATTGCTAAAACGAAAAAGGAATATTTCTGCTCGCTCCGTTTTTGGAAGATTTGAGAAAAAAAAAGCTGAGATTTTCAACTGGTTGTGTACTAGAAGAGTTCTTTAAGAAGTCTTTCATCGAGGACTGATTATCAATCTGTTTTCTTTTACGACCAGCGTTATGACCACTCTCATTTGTCTGTCCAGTTGGTCGTCCCCTCGTATTTTTGATACTGCTTGTATCCATGGCATGAATATTTTTTGGCTAATTATACGCGCACCATACTTTTTGCTTGAAAAAAAAATCTCGCGCACCATTTTTTTCTGTCCGGTCAAATAATAAAATTCCGGGTCGGACCAAAAATGATTTTTGCACATTGGACTTTTTTCTTGTGCACCATGCTTTTTTTGCTGGCGCACCATACTTTTTTTTCGCTGGCGGACTATATTTTTTTTCGCTGGCGTACCATACTTTGTGATGAAGAGAATCAATGTGGTTTTGAGTATAAGCTCATGCTTTTAGTCTAAATTTTATTTTGTTTTTGGGTTTTGATTATTATGAGATAAAATATAAAGTTTGGGAGAATGTTAAGGATTCGGGAAGCAAATTATAAAATTATCCTGTCTAGTTGTTTTGAAAGTAGTGAGACACGTCGTTGACACAAATGTCTCGGTGCGCGTCGAATACTTTTTGGTGTGAAAAGTTTAATGTTGGCCATTTTTTGACTTTAAAAGCTTTCTTCGTTTTGTTGTCGATTTGAGGTAAAATCATATAAAAATGACTGTTGGCAAACAAAAGTTGAATAGGATCATTCATTGTTTCGAAATCCAGACCAAGAAGTGGTAGAAAAGTGATTGAATCTTTGGTGTATATGATGTTTCCATCATTATCTCTCGACGTGATTTCATACTTATCGACTTTCGGTGTTGTAGCCTGTAAAATTACTGGTCTTTTGAAAGTGTCAGCAACAATTTGTGGGCATCCGTAACAGTCAAACCAAAGACTTAAGTCATCAAGACAGGGAGCTCTTGTTGATTGCAATTTTTTGAGGTATACGCTTCGTTTAGCGCATATGTGTCACGGACGGAACAGGAACAAGACACAGAAACTACTTGGCGACACGAGGGGGGCGATTGGTTAAAATAAAATATGTTAATTATTAAGAGGGGGAGGGGGTTAGGACTAAGATCCAGAATAACGTTTTTCTAATAAATAACTAGCATCTATTTATACTATTTCTTATACATGGGAAAAACTACGATGGGTTTAAATTATAGATTAACAAGGGACTTTACGGAACAGATACATGAATAGACTATTGACAAGGATGAGTAATTGAGATTTGACGAGTAGTAACAGGCTGGATTTAGTTGACATTGAATAATATGATGGTTCGGGGAATATTTATGGTTTGACACGGGCGGGAAAACTGGATTAGGAATAAAAGTAAAGGATGATCGGGAAAAGGTTTACTAAGGTTGAGTCAGACAGGAAGCGGGAGTAATATTGAGAGGCAGATTAAATATATGTTTTACAAGGAGTTCGGTGGCGGGCAAGATATACTGATATGATTTTTGGTACAAGGTTTTACAGCGAGTTTGGTAGCGGACAAGATATACTGATGTGATTTTTGGTACAAGGTTTTACAGGGAGTTTGGTAGCGGACAAGAGATACTGATATTGATTTCTAGAACAAGGTTTCACAAGGGGTTTGAGATCATGGTTAAGTTATGCAGGCACTAAACAGGGCGAGTAAGTTCATGACACGCATTCCCATTGGTGATATCGCCCAATTATCGATTAACGTTTATACGCAACGCACAGTAGAATCTGCAACTCCTTCTCGGGTTTTAAAAGATGCGTTTCACCTTATGGATATGTTACCATTGTCGCAAAAGCACGGGATGTATAGAGACTTTTACCGAAGATATCGAGAGACTCTATTTGTGTATGATCCAATCGATAAACAAAACGTTGAAATTTACCTGCGATCTATTGGGACAGATTTTGAATCGTATATGTCAAGTAATTCAAGTTTTATTTTGAAAAGGGTCAAAAGAAAAATTTCACCACCAGCTGAACTGTTTCCTGCTGTAAAGCTATTGTTTGAGTTGTACGGACCACTTCCTTGTGCCAAAACAGGATTACCTTTATTTAATCAAGAATGCGAAAGGTTTTCTAAGAACATTCTTAAATCAATTGAATTAGGGCGTGTTTCTGATAATGAAAATGATCCACCCTATTATAGAGAAATAGGGAAAGACAAGTATAGCCTAATGAAATATGCATGTGCTAGAGGTACCATTTCTGTCCAGGGATACCACCAAACCATAATAAGGAAATTTTTGTCAATCAACGCTGGCCCTCGTCTTCCTGATTCATTTCTAGCTGATTTTAGATTGTATCATAATATTGAGGTACTTTATTTGGCATTTGATAAGCACTTATTTTAAATAGTAACGTATGTAACATATAGGTTGGGGCCAGAAACAGGGAAGGTATAGTTCATAAAAGACATTATAGTCCTTGGGTCACTCAGTGTACAAATATAATGAGGCTCTATCTTCCTCATAATCCTGTAAAAAATTATACTATTCACCATATCGAAAAGCTCCCGGTTGACTTTATGGGGCAATCAGTGGAAACATTTCGTATAACAGCACTGGATATGTCTTTTTTGACCATGTATGCTATGAAGCCAAGCTTAAAACGCCAGGTTTCTTAACACCTTTCAACAGAAATGGTTAAGCAAAAATTGCTGCAGTTAAGCTTTTGACCTATTGTCAATTTTCCAAGCCAACGTTACTTAGCTCTAAATTTTGTCTATCGTTATCTAGCAAACAGACAACACACCCTCTTTGCAGTAGTACCGATTCATACAAAAGAAGAAGTAGTATTATATAATGAGCTGATTTCAACTAGAAACGAAGAATTATTCTTAAATAGACTTAGTAAAACTCCTGATTTTGATGCTTTCGCTAAATTATGGTCCTCATTTGCTGACGGTGTCAATATATACTATAAAACACCAGAACATATAAGGCTTTATCATAACAAACGGATAGAAGCAAGTTTGTTTACTAATACGACCTTACTGAACGAGAATATTTGCAACACCGTCAAGAATGCATTGATTCAATCCAGCAGAATAATGAACCCTGTCACAGCTTTAAAAGCTCCTACACCTATAAATCATTACTCTAGTTAACAAAAAAATATTCTTCCAACAACTGTGCTTCTTTAACTACATAACATCATGAGCGGCATTTGCTTCCCTCTCCAAGCCCCATTTTAACTTTGTCACCGATTGTATCGAGTCGTGTAGATTTACAGACAATCCACGCCGCCTCACCTCGTATTCTCCTTCCGTGTGATTCTCGGCCTAATTCTCCAATTGTTGTAAATCAAATAGACACAAGGCTTCAACCGAAAAAGATAAAAAGATCACCTAGAACTTGTTTCGTCTGTAAGGATACATTTTTATGTAGTGGCAGATCAAAGCCACAATTATGCATGAAAAAATGCGGGTTGTGTCGTGATAACAACTGTCCTGGACGGTACAAAAGCACACCTTGTAAATTCATTGACAATGTTTAAACTAAACCAACTTTAAAACCCCCACTAATAAGTGAACCCTTGTTTTTTTTATTTTTAAAAAACAACCAAACCCATTACAGAAAACCTTTTTTTAACTTTTTATACTAAAAACATCACTCAAAATCTCTTTTTTCAAAAAAAAAAAAAATTGGGTGCCACAAGGCACCCATAAATAAAAGAATTAAATCATTTTGTTAAAACGGTCCCCACCTATGGGTATAAGGCCAAAATTCTGTAGTTGTCCTTCATATTCCCATTTATGGTTTTAATGTTTGTGTGTACAATGCCGCATGCAGATCGTAAAGTATGAAGCTTTGATGATAAAAATTTAGTATAAACTATTGATCATATTTAATAAATTGTCTGTGCAATGGATGGTTAATAAATTCACGAGCTAATGCACAGTTTGCAAACTTTAATAGGAAATATGGCATTAGGAATAATCCCCAATATGGAATCTTCATGGGATATATTGTAAAGAAACTTAACATATGCTTTTATTTCTTTAACCAGTTACTTTTAAATTTACTTATGGTTAAATAATCCAACAAAAACAAAGTTAACAAGAACAAAGGAAAATCTGTGGACAGACAAAGTGCAACGCCTGGAACTGAGAATTTCGAGAGATTTTTTTCTTGTATGTAACAGTGAGTTTATTCAACAAGATAGATATAGAAGTAAAAAAAGGGAAAGCTAAACTATTTTGGTTTAGCAACCTTTGTCTTCGTAAACGTTTGTGACCCTTAAGAGCAGGCTGCGTCTGGACAACTAACTTAGGAGCAGGACCTTTGGAGGTTTGCTTGATAGACTTCTGTTTACCCAAAATGGAACGGTTTTGTCCTAGCATTTTTCTTCCACCATCAACCATTTTACCAGCCAAATGGGATGTCTGAACTGTCGCGGGTAATGTACCCTCGTCTTCTTCAATTTCCACGCACACCGTTTCTACAGTTGTGTCGCACTTAGACGTTGAAGAACCACTTTCAACAATCTTCGAAGGCTGGTACGCATCTGACAGGTCTGTATCAAAATCGGAGATAGCCTGTTTAACAATCGTAGGCAGGTCGATATTAGATTCCTCTTTAGGAGTATGGACTTGCAGAGGCTGAAACGTTTTCTTTTTACAAAATTTCGCGGTATGACCATAACCTTGACAAGCGAAGCACTTGGTTTTGGCCGATTCCGGACATTTGGAGCGTACATGACCGGCGTGGTGACACCAATAACAAACGATAGGGGCACCTTTGAAGGATGCCGAAGCAAAACAATCTCATTCGTACAAATATAAATTATTCGACAGTGGCTCATTGGCAAACACTGCATTATCATCATCAGAATAAACGGTAGTTGTATTGAGTATCACTGACAATTCGCCTTCGAAATATCCACCACAAGTGTACTCCTTGACTTGCAAGACTTCTCCGTAAACAAGAAGAGACTTCATTAACTTTTCAAGAAAATCCTCTTTATCAGGAATGTATAAACGTGATATCTTCACGTGGGCAAGCTTGTACATTTTGCAATCAATTGAATAAGTTCCTTTGATAACGGTGTTCTTGATTGTAATACCAGTAAAAATTGCCTTGTCGAAACTTGAGTCATTAACAAATTTGACTTCAATCAAATGATCACCATCTAAGCTAGAACCATAATTACTGATTGGGCGGAAACCATGGACAGGACCACATTGGGTTTCAATAAGCTTATATGCTTCGGTACGATGTTGGATTAACGAAGCAGGAATGAAGAAAAGAGCGAGGTCAGGTGTCAAGGCCTGTTTCACTATTTCGGTAGCCTTCTGCATTCTGATGAGGCAGTCAAGGTGTTCACTTTGGTAGATTACCTTACTTTGTAACTTGAATTGAGAGTCCACATTGTTAGGGACAGATAAAGGACGAACAATGTTTTTGGAATTACCACGGGACGCGATTGTTGCCCAAGAATTGTGAAGTTTTTCTGCCATTGTTTAATAATCCCGAAAAAAAATTAAAATTAGAGATTGAGAAATGAGAATGTTGAAATATTTGCTGGATGGGTTAAATGTCGCGATAAACGGCGAGATCGAAGAGATGGAGGGGAGCGTAATAAATAAAAAAGATAGAACCGATAGAGAGGAATCGAATGCAAGAACAATTTCTGATGGATGTATCGAATTCACCGAGATATCGTTGAAACAAGAGTATGGATGCAAACACCTTTTGTAAAAATTCTTTAAGCGAAAGAAAGCTTCAAAAGTAATTAAATGTCATGGTCCGGAATCGAACCCGGACTAACTGCATGAATATCGCAGATGCTCGCCACATGACCAACAGCAACCAATTAATTCGAGAGATAAAACAACGAATTAAGAATAAAATAAAGAAATTTGACGATACTACAGATTTTCAACTGGTCCAAAATCCTTTGTTGTCGCACAAGTATGACCAATTACGAGCGGATACATGGGTTAGCTATAATTGACCAATTACGAGGGTTAATCTGTATCCTCCTCTGTAGTTCAGAATCATCCCACAGATGTAGTCCACTATGATCTATTGATATAGAATGGAATACAAGTGTTTACCCTGTAGTGGTCAATTATAGGAACAAGGCATAGTAGACGATGTATTTCACCTACATAGGAATCTCGTGATCTCAATCGTGAAAGCTTATTTGCTGGTATTTGACGTATAAAAGTTATTGATGACGAAAAAAGAAACTTCAACGAGTATCTTGATGAAAGTGGTAATGACCATAACAACGAAGCACGCAGAGGAAACCCTATGCCTTCGTCAACTAAAGGTATTTATTATTACAGATACCAATAAAAAAAAATCCGAAGCTAATGTTTATTTTTGTAGAACATACAGAAGACGAGCCAAAGAACAACAGAGAACGAGTGATGCTCCGTGTTGCATGGTATGTTTATGAAAATAAACTCGCTGGGAACACAGCAAGAAATCAGCGATGCCATCAAAGTGTTGGAAAAGGCTAATTTGGATATAAAACATCCAGAAATCAAAATGGATGAGCTGCAACAGCCTTCCGTAAATACAAACAGAAAGGGGCGTAAGTTAAAGCGTAGTGTCAAGAGTAACACTGAAAGGGTCAAGATTGCATCAGAGTTGTTTGAAGAGCATCAAAACAAAGAGATAAAAAAGAAAGAAAAGAAAGAAAAGAAAGAAAAGAAAGAAAAGAAAGAAAAGAAAGAAAAGAAAGAAAAGAAAGAAAAGAAAGAAAAGAAAGAAAAGAAAGAAAAGAAAGAAAAGAAAGAAAAAGAAAATGAAGCATTTGAGAGAAAGAGAAAAGAACTGTTCCTTGAAGAAAAAGAAATTGATCTTCAACAAAAAAAAAGAAAACTTACTATGTTTGTTCGCGAAGATCCCTCCTCTTCTGGTAGCGATATTAAAACTGAAAAATCAGTATCGCATTATGATCGGTAAAGAGTTGCATATTCCTATTAACACAATACGATTTATTTTGACTTATATCTACTTACTTATATTATTTAGCGTTATCACCTACCGGAATTCTAAAAAGGATGTCGCCTTTGATTGTATTCATATCAGCCCCAAAAATGTAACTGGTGCGATTCATAACGTTGGAGCTGACGGAAATTGTGGTTTTAGAGCTATAGCTCTTGAGGTATATAATGACCAAAGTCAATGGTTAAAGGTCAAACATCAAATGTTACAGAGGTATATTCAGTATCATGATACTTTATATAAGCCTGTAGATGAAAAGTGTATTGAATTAGAAAAGATTAAGATGGTTAGACGACTTAATTCTTCTAAATCACCTTGTCTCGAAGAAGAAGACCAACTTTTGTGGTTCAGCACATTCAGCTGTCCCCAAGTTGTGGCAGACACATTTGAACGGCCTGTGATTCTTTTCAGCCATGTTAAGTATCTCTTAAAAGATACAGGAGAGCCTAGGGTGAACCGTGAAGCACAAGTTTTCTTTCCTCTCGTAAATATGCCATTGAAAAATGACGATATGCCAATCACTCTTCTGTATTCGTCCTCGCATTTCTACGCAGTGGAATTCCATCCCACTCCCACTGAACGTTTGAAGAAGTTTGATAAACCTGTCATTGACATGGACCATGACCGTCTTAGGGCCCTCACAAGCGACAAAATTATTTTTTTAAAGATCCCGATTTAGGACTTTATTATTATTTTTTTTTTTATTTTTTTTTGTGAAAGGTTACAATTTTGCCAAATAGATGAAGAAAAAATTTAATGGATTTATATAGGCGATTAACAATAACATCGAATTTTCTCCAGTGCCAAAATTTTCGAAATATCCCAATAAAGGATTAAAATCCAACGACCCCAGAATTCTTCTATCAGATGAAAAATCAGCCAAATTAAGCTACCGAACTCACCAATGATTTTGATTTTTTTTTTTTTGATAAAAGAGTTGTGTTTGTGATCCTCTTCATTTTTCTTTACCAATTCTTAACTATCCAATTTTATTTAACAAAATACCTTTCCAAAAGTACACTACCAACGCCATATGGGATTAAGCAAGCACCAACGTTTTGATCGAGTTGTTTTCCGATTACGTTGTAAACGTGGGTGTTATTCGCTCACCTCAAGCAAAGCTGAATTTGAACAAGGCAACGGAAGATGCTTTTAATGCCAGTGACGCTATCAACGGTAGAAGGAACTTTGCAGCGATGAATAACAAGTGGATTTGCCTCTGTGATACGTTCAGAACCAGACGAGACGATGCTAATTCTACTGGTAGTGACCTCTTCAACACTGGGAGTTTCACAATCGGATGGAACAGGCAACATCGAGAATGCAATAAAACTGTAGTGGAGACTTTGTTGTCGGTAAAGTGTAGAAATGTCTGATTGCATAATCATATTCATATCATCATCAAGTCCAAAAAAAATTTATTGCGATTCAGCAACTACTGTAACAATTTGAGATAGGTTTATTTTGTTTTCTCTAGAAATAAAAAGTATATCGAAAGAATAGAGTCCTTGATAAATAATAACAGATAGGTTAGCATTTTGAGTGAACTTTATATTTTAATCGTTCAAAAAGGGTCATTAAAAAGCAATGTCATGGATTTTCGAAAAAGCTTTCTTTTGGAAGTCTGAAGTAACCTTTCACAAAAAAGAAATAAAATAATAAAGTCCTTAATCGGGATCTTTAAAAAAATAATTTTGTTGCTTGTGAGGGCCTTACTCATGTATTGCTGACGCTTTATTCATGTCACGATCTTAATCTATGGTTTTTTTTCCTTCTGGGTATGCAATTAAAGGTATGTATTGTAAAATAGTTGTAATATCAAGTCATAATTAGACCCAGTTGAGCCCGTTTTATAAATAATATCCATTTTCAACAACAAATAAAATCACAAATACCACATGTAATTTGGAATAAGATGGCGATAACAAACATTCATCTATTGATCAACGGTGTCATTTAGTATCATCGAAAAAATAAAGGCCAATAACAAAGCATCATCTTAAAATACAAAAACCAACGACAGTTTTTTTTACGTCGTATCCTGTGTAATATCGTAGATATCAAATGGGTCTTTAAGAATAATCAAAGTAAAGATAACCTTTTATTAAGAGCTGTGTCTAAACTAATAGTAGATTCAATCGGGATTTACTATTCAATCGTTTATCCATTTGAATTGAATAAATGTTTATCCATGTATTCTTATTCGTTCATAACAATCTTTCCATGATTACGATCTCCAGTCTGTCTACTGAGATCTAATATTGGATTTCTATTGTTTCTATGATTCAATACATCTGCGATATTACATCCTGTATCAAATCACCCAAAATACATGCTATAGTACATGATGTATTCTGTTAATAGTCTGATACACCGATATTGAGTGTCCCATGCACGCACAGAATATTGCGTGTATCATTTAGAAATACGTAGCAGAGTATACGAAATATTTTGTACCGTATTCTGGTTGCGTGGAGTATACCCAAGACAGTTTTAGCAGGATATTGTGAAGGATACGCCGTGTACCCTGTCAATATCACGGTAAAATCACAAAATTCTTCCAATGAGTGTTTTCTAATTCCTAGTGATAAGTAAGCGTTTTAAAATTTCTAGAATACAAAGTTACATTTCAAAAATTTACCTAGCAAGTACTTTGCAACAAATACGTTGTTACTTAGCATAAATTACCCGAAAAAATTAATCCTTTACAGTCCTACTACAGACAATTATTGAGATTTGAAATTGGCAGAAACGGCCGCTAGCCTAATACAAACATCGTCTACAAAATTGAGATTGATCGGACTTTTATTTCATTTAAAAATCAGTTTTTGTAATTTAAAGTCCGAGTTTTGGTCCTCCGGATTTAAAACACACATAGGAGGACGCACAAAAGTTGGCTCTTACTCGACTATCGCAAGTAGTTTTTGGTATTACCATTATTTGGTGGTTAGGAACTACCTGAACGTGTATTCTATCAAAACCACAAAATATAGACATTTGTTTTTATTTTGAAAGTTTAGGCTCAATTCGTGGAATATTTGAAGTAAAGTTGTTTGGGGAACTCTGGTCTATTATCCTTCAATATCCAATACTTTAGGGAATTCTGGTCCGTTATCCGACAAGATCCTATACTTTTGGGAACTCTGGTCCGTTATCCGTCAAGATCCGATAGCTTTTGCTATTCTGGTCCGTTATCCGATACAATCCTATAGTTTGGGATGATCCAATAACGTTTACCGAGTACCCTCAATAAATTAAAATAATCTAGAAACGTTAGTTGAATAGTATAAGTGTTCGTAACCGGTACGGAGATTATCGACGATGGTTACAGATTTAAAGAAACTCGAACTTCATGGCAGAACATCGTCAAACTTGTTTTGCACGGCGAAAACGTACATACATGGACTGGCAAAAAATATGTCCACGATGTGACTTTTTAATGTTTTTGTCGTAAAGTGTTGATGTCATCCGTTTTTTCATCCGAGTTATAATATTACCACAATCACTAGTACTGATATCGTAGAATGTGATTGTGTATATAACAATCCGTCACGATAACATTGGGACTAAAATAACCAGAAAACTCAAATATCATATATATAACCCATAGTGTTGGAACTTTTTGAGCTTGCACCGATCTTGCGCCAGTTCGAACGAAGCTCGAACCGAGTTTTTGTACACGAGCTTGCGCTACTTTTTTTTGGGTTCGAGCGAGCTTTAATCGATGCTCGCCCGAAGCTCGCTCGGCTAAAATGTGGATAGTAGTCACTTTAAAGTTAAGGACTTTGAAAGACTACAGATGGTATTTCCCCTTGATTTTAATCTTTTCTTCCAGCGAGATTTTAGGGCTTTCTTTCGCTTAAAGAATTTTTACAAAAGATTTTCGTATAGCTCCCGATCATTAAACTATGTCAATTTCACCAGATTCTACCTGGGCAGATATTGCAGCTGTTGGTAACACCAAGAAGGATCTTCGTCCCATACATGTCTTCGATGAGACTGATTCTGAATACAAGCGTGCAAGTACCATTATTTACAAAGATAAATGTCCAGAGGCTCTCATCTTAACACAACAAGCGATGTCCATCGTAAAACAAAAGTTTACTGATGGATCTGTTTTGTTCTCTTTCCCCGCTACCGTACTCAAGCATTGTTTCGAGGCTTACCAGGCCATTGAATCCCAATGTGATCCTTTACACGGCGTTAGACCGATCAGTTATTATGGGGTTCGTTCTGACTGTAACATGTTGCTGGAGGTTAAGTTTCTGGATGATGGTACCAGTATGAAGGCTATCACCAGTGGTGTCTCTGTTAAGGACAAGATTTTAAAGGTTTTCGAACGAATTTTTCCGACAACAATAATCTCGTACACGTCAAGTTCTCGATTTTATATATCCCCGACCAAGAAAACGTTCTGGAAGATTTGATATCATCTCTAGCGTATTATGGACAAGTATTACAAATCAAGGAGTATTCTTGTCGTGGTTACTTTGAGGGTCAGATGTCCGTCATTCTGAACACTGTGGTAGGCTACACGGATGAAGATGATGAACATTACGCTAGTGTACCTTTGTCAAACAACTTGTATCTATCCGAGTGGGACTATTTTGCTACTGCAACATTTAAAGGTGCTCCTTCTGTGTGTCATTGGTGCCATGTTGCTAGTCATATTCGTTCCAAATGCCCGGAATTAGCGAAGACCAAATGTTTTGTATGTCATAGTAATGGTCACACAGCCAAGTTTTGTAAGAGTGGAAAACGTTCCGTTGTTAGGCAGCCTGTTTCTGCTGAAGTATCCAAGATATTGACTTGGATTCAACTGATTGTCTTGATGCCACTATTTTGTCCGACTCAGACACTGATATTTCTGATGTATCTACATCGCCCAAGATTGCGTCCCGTGGTTCCGAGGATTCCAACTTTGCAACTACAGTTGCTAGTGTGTATGGAGAGGTGGACCATGTAATGGATACCACGACTCTTTCTTCGTCAAACCCAGAATTGGTTGGTAGAACTCGTGGGACCGATAAAGGTCTTAGTCCCCAACGTTCTGCTTTAGGTAAACATCCTACCTCTAAACTGAGCGTGAAAGGGACGTTTCCCAAATTGGTGGCTCGAACACCCCCTACTCTAAAAGGTAATAATTTGTTTACGAAGACTAAGGTTGTTAAAAAATAACGATTTTAATTTCCCCTTTCGTTTTACGTATAATTCACTTATTGCTAAATAAACTTACTCTTCATACAAAAAAAAAAATCTTTTCTTCACTTAACCATTTTTTTTTATTTATGCTCTAATAATTACAATTAAAATGGTTTGGACTTTTATTTAATTGTACAACCAACAAGCACATTTACCATAGAAAATGATACAGTGTTGCACACTATACCCAATTAAGCCAATTGTTTACAGCAACCATAGTAACATGACGTAGCAGAATTAATTTAAACTTTCATGTCCACAAATCCAAATGTATTAGGGGGTCCCAAACATCAAACTTTTTGTAAAATTATCGGGCGCTTTTTTTAAAAATTCCGGGAGCTTTTTTTGTGTGGGTGACTGTCTAAAAACCTTGTCACTTAGTCAAAGTACACTCTAGCACTTCTCTATATTAGTTCCTCTTTTACTCCTCTTTTACTACTCATTTACTTATAAATCTCTCTATAAACTACCTTTACAATGCCCAAAGTATCAACCAGACAACAAACCTTGAAAGAAATGAAAACTTTGCATAAGCACAGTGTCATCATTGAAGACGATAAACAAGCCGATGAGATGCACGAATTATTGAGCGGATTAGAAACGAAACGCGTTTTGAACAGTGGAGCAGGCATCCCTAAACTTAACCAGTACCGTGAGTTTTTTCTCAAGTGGGATGACGAAGAGTTTGTCAAGATGTGTCGAATGAAGAAGGAGTCTTTCTTGAAACTTCTTCGCCTTATTGAAGACCATCCTGTCTTTAACAACAATAGTTTTGTCGCCCAAACGGATGTTCATATCCAACTTGCGGTGACCTTAAGACGATTGAGCCACGACGGAACAGGCAACAGCATCGACCAAATTGCTACTTTGTTTGGGATTAGTAAAGGCTCTGTCACCAACTACACGCAACGCTGTTTCAAGGCAATTAATGACAACCTTGGACATTTGATGCGTTGGCCCAACAAGGAGCAAAGAGAATTGTCGGCCGCAGCAATCAAGAAGTACCACTTTTTTCGAAATTGCATTGGGTATATTGATGGTACTCATTTCCGTCTTGCGCAGAAGCCAACGAAGCATGCCGAAACGTACTATAACCGAAAGGGTTTCTACTCTCTGAATTGTCAAGTCGTATGCGACGAAAGGATGATCATTTTTGGATTGCAAGTAGGACATGTAGGTTCAGTGGGTGACGCCACATGTGTAGAGCATGCCAGCTTTATGGTAAATAAAGATCACCTTTATTTCACATGTGGTAATGGTGCAAACCATGAGTATCTTCTGGGTGATTCCGGATATGCTTCTACATCCATTCGTTCTTACCCCTTTCAGGAGACCTCAGGTACTGAAATCCAAGAAGTGCGAAGATTTTAACAAGGTACATTCTTCTGCGAGAGTTGCCGTCGAGAACACGATCGGTGTACTGAAAGGTAAATGGAGGATCTTGAAGAACATTCCTATCCAGATAAATTGCAACGAGGACGTGATGAAGATCGACGAGATGGTGTCTGTTTGTGCTCTTTTGCATAATTTCTTGATTACTGAAAACGACAATTTTGCTGGCGATTTTTTTGAAGACGTAGATGTAGGTCAGTCAAGAAAGGATGTATTGTTGCTTCAATCGTTCGACAACATCAAAAGTATTTCTGGTCGTACACTGAATAGATGGAGGGATTCGGTTGTGGATGCAGTACTGGCAGATTACACTGTACATTTCGCACGAAATAAAAAATAAAGAGATTAGATCGATGAACAGTGCATTATAGTTTTGAAGTTATGATCAAATTTATTATTGTAATGAATGAGGAATTGTAGAAGGTCATTACTGATATAATCAGGTAAATATTAGTTAAAAGAAAGGTTTTATTCAAAAGAAAAAAAAAACTAACGTCTAACTACTTCAGATCCATCATCAGAGAAATCATCGTTACCATCAAAGGCGGTTTCACCTTCACTCTCATCTCTTACTTCGAAGGCTCCTTCATTACCTCGAGCATCTTGAAGAGGTTCCCTCAACGATTGTCGGAACGCCGCAATATGCTGGGCGATCTCCGTAAAGGACGTCGTTCTGAAAGCATTAGTCCGAAGACTCGTCACCAACAGCTCCGTCATACCCAACTCGAACTCCCTCTGACTGTTCTCTCTCAGAACTTCGTCCCTTCTCAACTGGGCTTCACGCTATTCCGACGAGAAATCCCTCTTCATCCTCTTGTTTCTCATAGCGTGATCTGGATCTACATGAATACGATCAACTGACGGAATTTCAGGTCGAGGTCTGGACGACCCAACATTCACACGAGCACCACGAGAACTACGACCACCAGAAGCAGCACGACCACCAGAGGCACGAGTACCATTGGAGCTACCACGAACACCCCGGGAACCAGCATTGACACGAACAGCGTCCACTTCATCATCGTCATCGCTGAAGGCATTCGTGCCAAGGATTTCAGCTACTTCTCTGTCTAATGACATGGAACTACGACGAGTTCTAGGAGGATCGTCAGGAACCACAGGAAGAGAAGACGTATTATTGTCACCTGTAGGCTCCACAGACAAAGAGCGAGGAATCATGAATGGTGCAGGAGATGAAGGGCCAACAGAAGGATCACGATTACGAGCTGAAGGTTCCTCAGAAGCAGATCGAATTGGCTGAGTTGGTTCAAGCTCTTCGCCCTCACCAAAAACAGCACGGGTTTGTTCATCAATTGCCGTAATGGTGGGCTCTTTTCTACTGGAGAACGTATACTCAGTACCGCCAGGAGCACCATGGAAAGCTACGCAAACAGGTTGGGTATTAGGCCTATCACCATGCAAAGTCGACAATCGTTCAAATCCAGGACATTCGAAATCACACTTTTGTTCGATACTGGTGATCCCTCCACGAATATCCTTTTGTGTCAAACCAAAAGCAGTGCCATTCAACTTTCTCTCTATTTCACGGTACTTGGTAAAAAGACGTGCAACACTTTTCATAAGCTGATCCAGCGTCCAATCGGTGGGTATAGCCTTGTCAGCCAACAGTTTTCTCATCATACCCCTAATGATTTCACGCTTTTTGACTATGGTAGCAGCTCCAGGGGCAGCGTTATCATGTACACCGATGTATGCTTTAAAAAGCTTGATGTTTTCCTCGAAGTAACCAATCATCGCTTTGGCATGAGCAGGACTAGTGTTGGATCCACGTTGGCTATCATCAACAGAAGCTGTTTTGGAAGACGTTTTCTTGGATGTTTTAGCAGTAGTTTGTTTACGTTGACCGGGCATTTTAGTTGATATAATTCAGAAAATAATTTCAGAGAAAGAAGGTAAGTCAAATGTAGGATAAACGAGGTTTATATATGATAATTAGATGAGTGGTGACATTTGCATGTCATTTTTATGACGTAAAATAAAGAAAAATAAACTATTTATTACTTTTTATGGCAATTTCGTCATAATGTATGACGTAAAATCCACGGACGATAATTATCGTCCGTCATTTTTCTCGACCGATAATTATCGTCCGTCGTTTTTCTTGACCGAAATTTATCGTCCGTTCCTGAATTTTTGGCTGGGGAAAAAATTACGGGATTTTTTAAAAAAAATTTCGGAATTTTTATTTTTAATGTTTGGGACCCCCTATTATATCTATAGATGCAGTAATAGTTTGATTTTATTATCCGAATTTGGTGTTAAGGCTAGTGAAAAAAAAGTTTTCTTTTTCTTTTCCAACTTCTATTTCAATAAATAACAATTCTATTATCATAATTTTCTGTAATTAACATCACTTTGACGTGCACTTTGTGTAATAAAAAGAGCGAGCGAGTTCGAGCTATCGTATTCGCAACCGAGCCGAGCTTATGAAACTTCGAGCGAGCTCGAGCAGCAAAAAAACGCATCGCAGCGAGCTTCGACTGGAAAACAATCGAAGCTCGCTCGAGAGTTTCGATCTTCATTCCGAACACTAGTATCCATTAATTCATACACTATTTTTTTATACTCGTTATCAGAAGTATAATTATATCCATATATGAGCAAATGAAGCATTTATATTAATAGCTGTTCTATTCTCTCTCTGGGTAGTTAATTCATTGAGAGAACTATTATTATATTAAAATTATCGGAATCATAACTACGCAGTTACAAGGCAAGCTAACTTTCAGACACAAAAGTTACAAAAGTAAGGAACTTCAATGGGGGTGCGGGGTGGGCGGTTTAGGGGGAGGGGAAACCCCTCCACCTAAGACTACGGCCCATAGTATCTAACATGAAAAAGCTAATATCTTAAAAAATAGTATGCTTTCTATTTATTTTTAGCAGTGATAAAAAAAATTGGGGGTGTGGGGGGAGAGGGAACCCCTTCACCCAAGAATAGGACTCATAATATTTAGCTTTAAATTGTTACCTTCCGAAAACCAATATTCCTTTTTTTTACAGCATAATATCTTAGAGCATAATTTGTTTTTACAGCGTGATTTTTTTTACAGCCCTATATTTTGAAACGTTATTTTTTTTTACGTCGTAATATTTTTTAGCAGAGGTACAAAATTAGAGGCTGGGAAAACCTCTCCTAAGAATACGACCCATAACATTAAGCATTAAACTGAAAAAAAGAACTTAATTAAAAATTGACTATTTTCGAGAGAATCATGATATAAAAGTGACTTTTACCGAAAAAGTCATTCAAAAAAAAAGTTACTATGGAGGTTTCGTAGTAGAGGTTACACTTCGCTCCAGTATAGTAGCCAATAGCTTTAAGCATTATATTATCGAGGTTAGAGAAAAGTCTATGAACACTATTTCACAAACAATATGTCATTACTCGAGAAGAACTGAAAAATTGTTTGTTTTTGGTCGTTGAAGGGGTCGCCTTTGATATTAATATTTTGGATTATCAAGTCTTTTATTATGAAGTATAAACATTGAGCATACAATAGTTAATCATATGTATAAACAATTAATACTTTTGCGTAGATCAACGTTCTTGCCTGGTTCTAGGGAGGTCGTCTTTTTCCAAATATTTATACATGTATTGAGAAACATCAAATTTTTTTAGTGTCAA